GATGTAGTCACCTTAATCAGACGCAGGGAGTGGTTGAGGAGATGAATGGACAGATAGAGGGTCTCTTCTTGAAAATGCATCATCTCCTGGTGGGAAATAAACCAAGTGTGTGAAAATTGGAAACAGACATATTTTTACTGAGAAAAAAAGGTTTTGTTCCCCAAGATCAGAAGAGTGATACTCTGCAACCAAGATACAACTTGCAGCTTAACATAGTCATTAAGTCATCAGAAAATAGATCTGTGTTAGGAAGTTACTACAACTGGTGAAGAAATAGTATAACATGTAACCCTGAATAATACCAACATGTACAGAAAACCCCAAGAGATATAATATTTTAACTATAAAGAGGTGAAGGTCTGCTACATTTAGACAAAGCCAGCATACTTTTTTTTTTGTAAATATCAGCAAACCAGCAGCTCAGCATTTAGCACAGAAATTAACATGTTCTGTTTTTGTTATTAAGAAAATCTGAATACACAGGGCGACTTACATGAACTTGAATGAGCCAATCTATCAGAACAGCACGAGTGGCGTCAGTGAAATGCCGGGGCAGGTCAGTGTTGGTTAATGAGTTTTGTGTTTGTGTTCTCTGCAGAGTAACAAAAGAACATAAAGGCACAAAAATATGAAGGCAAAACAGACTGTGCCTATCTTCAATGGTGGCTTCTGTCAATGTGTCAGACTACCACACATTAATCTGTTAGGTGACCTTTGTTTATCTCACCATCATGTCTAAAAACATGTCCCAGGCGTATGTATGGTCCCGTATGAGGTCCAGCTTCTCCAGTGCCAGCTCCACCTCGTGGCGCAGCAGGCTGGGCACCAGCGCCTGAAGGCTGTGAAGACTCTGCAGACCAAGAGGGGGAAGAAGCACAGGCTCCTCCATACAAGCGTCTGCTACACAAAACAACACATGTGGGTTTTTAATATTCACTGGGTACCAAAATATACAATATATGTGTGTATAATACGAAGTAATAAAAGAAGAGACAGGCCCATTATACAGACACACACTTTGTTTGAGACTGGTGTGAAGTTTAAAAATTCAGGTGTTCAACTCTACCTTCAGAGTGACTGTCTTCATGGAAGCCCAGGAGGATGCCTTCACTTGTTTGTGTTGATAACCTTCTCTCCTGCAAACAGACAACACATAACTAAATGGTGCAACATGCAGTTTGCAACTTGGGTTTGTTTTATTTTATGCGTTTTCTCTGTTGTGTCTTGGGATATAAAAAGGTAAATATCTCATGCGATCCTGATTTCACTCTTGAATAGTGTAACTAAGTTAAATGTTATCTTATTATTTTGGTTGACAAAAACTTGTAAGCATGACTGATGGAAAGCATTAAAGTAATAAAAATAATGATATATAAAAAAAGAAACAGGGTTTGTTGTTTTCAGGACAAAAAAAAAAAATCTATCAAACGCTTTGAATGCAAGAAGTTTACAGTGATTACAGCATTAGCATATTAAGGTTTTAACAAGATTACAGATAGCCTTTAAACATTTCGTACTGCAAAATGCCAAACAGTATTTTTATTCACAAAGTCAACTTTAAGGATTAATATAGTGAGAAATAAGTTACGTCAAGAGCGAGAAAACGAAGGAGACAAACAGCACAGAAGGCATACCCATCTGTGTTCCGTCTCCATTTTGACAGGGGCCATCCTGGACTCCTCCACTTCAACAGGCTGCCAGCGGTCTATGGGCCCACAGGCGTTAGCCCACGTTCTTAACGGGGCTCGCCTTTCGTCCGCCTGCAGGGGAAACGGATTCTTTATCTGAAACTGATGGGATCCTAGACACTTAACATGTCATGCCTTCTCCTTTTTTTTCCCAAAACACCAGAGTTAGCCAGAGTCTAATCAGGGACTCCCTGACACACCTGGGGTCAAAGCAGGTGAAGGCAATTGTTCTAACCTGGCCTGTTTCAGCAATGGATTCTTATTTAATTAAGGTCAACTAGGGAACAGTGTGATTGGCAGGCTCAATGTTTCATTAATTTGGTCGTTTTTTCTCTAAAAAATAGCTCAGGAAAAACTTTCCTTTTTTACTTTTTCCGTGGCCATCATTTTTGAAACAAAAAACCAACCAAAGGATTCATGAGGGGAAATGTTTGAAAGAGGTAACAATTAGTATTTTCTGACGATTGGAAGAGCCCCTATTAACTTTTGATCTAACAGGTGTTCACCTTCTTGTGTAAGTCCAGCAGGGGCTTGGAGTCGCAGAAACCGGTCCTGGCCATAGTTACAGCCGGAGACAGTGTTCCCGTGCCGGGCCGCTGCAGCTACTTATCCACTGGTGTCGGCGGAGGCCTGGAGCTCAGAACAACCACGCTGCTGTGACAGCCACCGGCTCATATAGACAACCCAGTCCCACTGATTGGGACTTCCTGTCGACGTTTGAAAAAATAAACTTCGTTTTGATTCATGAGAAAAAAAAACACAACAGAAAAACGTTTATTTGAGGCTACCCATTTAATTTTTTCATTCAGACTTTTAAACTGGTTAAGGCCATGCTTCCTGAAACATTTCGTGGACTATCAAACGCATTTTGATCTAAGGCTAGCCTATAGCCTACTTTTCATTGGTGTGAATGTGACTGTCTCTCTCTGACGGTCAAAGTAGGCTATCTAGACCAGTGGTTCTCAACTGGTGGGTCGGGACCCAAAAGTCGGTCGAGGAGCCATTTGGGTCTTGAACATGTGACTGGAAAAAAAAAGTGTAAAAAAGTGCTCTTTAAACATGTTGGTTTTGTTTCTTCTCTTTGTTCCGTCATATGTTTCGAACCATTTGAGGTCCAAACTGCACTTTTTATTCATTCAATAAATCTGATATCAGAAATTTAGGAAACAATTTTCATGAAGGAGTTAGGTGGGTCCTTAGACTTGACCAGTTGAGAACCACTGATCTAGACAGTTTTGCCATCCATTATCCCTGCAATAAATAATAAACTAACTTTCAGTTTTGGGTCATGGATGTTATGTCTACCAGCATGTTGATATCTGATCCATTTGATGAAGGAGGAATCCTGCATTCTAAGATTTAAAGATGACACAACACTGGTGAAAAAGGACCAGAGAAACAAAAACTAACTCTTAAGTGTTTTACATTTTAACTGGTTCATAGAGGCTATCTTTTGCAACGACACTGTGCACTATTTCCCAGTTGATTAATGTTGCTTTTTTTTTTTCTAGATTTTTTTGGTGGGGCTTTTTGTGCCTTTTTATTGGAGAGCTAGGACAGTGGATAGAGTTGGAAATCAAGAAGAGAGAGTGAGGAACGACACGTGGGAAAGGAGCCACAGGTGGAATTTGAACCTTGACCGTCCGCTTGGAGGACTAAGGCCTCCATACATGGGGTGCATGCACTAACCACTGCACCACTAGCGCCCCTTAATGTTGCTTTTAAGGACATACCATAATGCTTAAAATACAGAATCAATTCTTAATCATTTTTCAGGCCTCAAACCGTCCAAGTTAAAAAATCAAAAAAGACTCATCATGATAACGGTAGCAGCTCCGTTCATTACAAGACTGTAGAGCCAAGACTTAGAATGTGTATGTGTTGAGTGCAAAGTGTAAAAGAAAAGACACAAAAATAGCTTTCTTCATTAAAAATGTTTACTGGCACATTATAATTGCAAATGTTATAAGCTACCATTTTGTAGCAGGTTTCACCCGTTACATTGCAAGGGGTCTGAAACTTTCTACCGGAACAAAGTCGTCCCCCTTAAAGATTGCTTTTTTTTTGGGGGGGGGGGGGCTTCTGAGCCTCCACTAACAGCAACAAGCAAAACAAATCCTGTAACACCAGCATCAGGTGTGACATTCTGTTGATCACATTCAAATACACAGAGAAGCAAGGTAACCAGAATCAAAGCTGCAAATCAAATACTACAAAGCTGCAGACCTCCCCTTCTACTAATGTTGCATTCATCATCAAGCTTCTTTTTTTTTAATTTTTTTTATATATATTTACACAATAGTGTGGAGGCACTTGTTGTGCCTGTGTATGCCTACAGGAGAGGTAAGGGGTGATAACTTGCATGTTTAGCTGTGAAGCATTGCTTAAAGCGTGGCCAGCAGTGAGGTTTAGAGTATGGCTTCACAACCAATATTTAAAAAGTTCAGCAGCACCCCCTGATGGCCATGGTAGCAATGAAGGCAAAATCCACAGTAGTGTCCTTCAGTGCAGTGGTTCTATGATCCACCCCTGCTGTTTTCCAAAGCAGGACATGAGGCTAGAGAGGATGATGTCTGTGCCTGAGCCATTGAGAAAAGTCGCTGGAGTTGTGAACTTTAAATCAATGCCGTTTGCTCACGTCATCATCCGAGGAACTGGGGGGGGCCTGTTTCCCCCACGAGAGTAAAAAACCTGCTGCTTTTCTGTGTCCTTGACACCACTTTTACCCACACATGTCACTTGCACCCTCTGGCGCTTTGTCACTCACACAAACAGAAATAGAAATAAATATGTGAAATGAGGGGTGTCCTAGAGAACGCTGTGAGATGCTTGGCAACACTTTTAGACATTTTCTGTCGAACCATGACTCTGTAGAGAAAGGTAGAAAGAAACACTAAATCTGACTATTTTCAGCTCTGCAAAGGGAGTCAAAGCTAGACACTCAAGCTGTTCTTTAAGGGTTTTTCTGGAATACAGAAGTTATTTCAAAAAGTTCAATTCTGAAGCATTTGGCAGAATCTAGAAAAGTTAAGACATTTAACTGCTTATGATTAAAGGACTGTTTTCTTTCTAGTCTCAAATGCATAATAAAACTGATGGTGGTTTCCATCCATCATTGTTTTTTATACATGCTCAATTATGCAAATGATAAATCATGAACTCAGCTCAGGCTCCAATACTGATTCATGTGTAACGCAGGCGATGTGGAGCAGATCTTAGCTGCACGTTAAAGATCAAAACACTGAGCATCATCAACAGCACAAGCAATCCCAAATGGAAACCCCCTGAAATGAAGAATTTAATCAAAAAGAAGACAGTTTAAAAACGTTTAATATATATATTTTATATAATGTATACTTAAACAAGACAATGTGTCTTCCAAAATTTGAGAAATAGATGGACAATAAAGGAAAACAAACTAATGACAAAAAAAGATCTTGATGTTCCTTTCATGAGGCTCAAAGAGTAACCAATAGCTCTTCCAGCAATATGGAAAATAAAATTATTGCGTCAATATGAGCACTTTGAAATATGCTGCCTGGACTTTTAGTCATGTGCCATCATAATTCAAAGTATGCAGAATTCCAACTGAAGCGAACAATACATCAGATATTTGATAAGTTAGTCTGGAAGTCTGAGGTCGGTTGTCCAGCTAATGCAGCGTTAAGTTGGATTGTAAACCTGCAGACAGTTGCTCAAACATACTGAACAATGTTGATTTAAGTGCTTTGACAGAACATTAAAATAAAACAAAAAACACAAACCAAAAGGTTCTAAAACCAAAATGTGGAATCATTTTAAGCATGAACCTTCCACCAAGTCAGTCAAATTTTTTTTGGCCTCATTATAAAGACTTCACAACAAAATCAACTCGTTCTTTAAATATGGGAACACTTTAAAAAATATATTTTAAACTTACACTGTTATTACAAAGAGGAAATGAACAACGATTGGTGCCTACTTCATCAGCTAGGGTGCAAGAATTACTGAAAGGAGGACAGCAAAATGGCGGTGTACGTCTACATTGGTCTCATTTGACGGTTTGGGAACAGCTGTGGTCAAGCGCTAGTCTCTAAACTGTCCCCAGCAACCCTAAATGTTTTTACTGTCTTTAATACGGAAAACCTACTCATACACCTCCAACCTGCAAACAGCGAGTCTGTCTGGACACAACATGACTGACTGCTGCCACTATGACTAACAAATATGAAGCTTTTAAAGCAAAAGTTAGCCATGCATGAGATCCAAGATTCTATTTCTGGCTGAGTCAATTTAGCATCAAGCTGGTCACAGTAATTATTAATAGTAATCATAAATTACATGCTCGATCCCTTTGAAAAAAAAAAAAAAGGCAATTTATTGTGCCGTGTAGGGTCCGCATCTTGATTTTCCAGCAACTGTTCAGAGTTTAAAAACATGCATAAAAATAAAAAAAACAGATAAATGGATGGTTGGTAATCAAAATGGTTGTTCATACATTCTCCTGAAATCATATGCCCACACACATACATTCACACATCCGATCGCTCCCATTTGCTTACAAACGTGCAGTGCAAACACAGAAATGGCAACCCCCTCCCTTTCCCCCCCTCTTCCCCTCAACTTCAGGAACGGTCCCACACTTGATTTGTAACAGCAAGTTCCAGAAAGAGCACTTGTTAAAAAATAAAGGGAAAAAGAAAAATCTGAAAATGCAGAAATATGGCTTTACATTTAAAACTTTTACAACTGATGAAAGATTTTTCCCAAAAGGTTTTCATTTTCCTAATTTTTGATTATACTAGTAAAATTCTATCAAGTACATTGTGTTTGTATATGCAGTCTATGCATGAACTGGTGACTACTTGTGTGTGAAGCTGGTAGAGAGATGGTATTTGCTGGCATAACCTGGTTTTCAAAGTGTCAAGGCTTTGATGTGGTACCCAGTGTAGTGCAGCAGAGGTCCCGCAGGGAAGCCTAAAGCAAACCCTGAGAGCATGTACACAGACAAAGCTGCCAGTCTATCCACACAAACCTGCTGAGGTCAGTCATTCTCAGTGTGTTTATTTCACACTTAATGATCCCCGTACTGTCTGATTTGCCAGTAAATGTGTGTGTGTGTGTGTGTGTGTGTTTCTGTGAGTTTATGTGCGTTAAAGATTGAATGAAAATGTGTCTTGTGCCAGTTTCTGTAGGTGTTGTTCAAAAATCCTCAGCAGTGCAATCGTGTATGTGGGATTGTGATAGTGTGTAAGCCTGCCTGCTTGTTCAATAGTTTGATTGATCACTCCCGGATGCTTGCAGAGTAGGAGAACTGAGGGAAGTGCTTGCGCGGATCTGAATCCTCTGCATCTAAACTGTCATCTGGAATACGCAAACAAAGAGAGGGGAGACAAATACATCCACAGGTTACACACAGAATGAAATATATGTAAAGCTAGTTTCACAGATGTAGATGCACTTACACTTGTCAGGGGGAGTTATCGTTATGGTTTGTGCTGTGAACTCGTCATCAAAGTAACGCGTGTCTGTCTCTGATGTTACCTGGGGCTTGAATGGTGGAATAAGCTGAAGGAAAGGAAAGGATGAGTGTCACCTTACATGTAAAACATCTTATCATAAATAGAATCAGAATCAGAATCGGGTTTATGGCCAAGTACATTTACACATACAAAGAATTTGACTTGGTGTATTGGTGCTAAACAATTAACAAGGAAATAAAGCAGAACTAGCAACAACTTAAATAATACAGTATAAGAAGATATTACAATATATAAAATAGAATTTAAAAATAAAAAACACAAAAGGTGTGATGTAGGAGCTGTGCAGTGGACCATGAGAAAAAAAAATCTTAGCGTGTGTAACTACTCACAGAGTGAGCATTATTTATTTCATCCAGCACCTTACCTTCTTTTCAAGTACATCTTGCCAGTTAATGGCGGTGAAGAACTTGTGACTCATCACATCTTTGGCATCATCCGGTCCACCACCGAGCCTGAACACAAACACGCTCATCAACACCCACTTAACAGCTTACCTTCTCTTCGTGCAGGAAACTGGCAGATCGTTAGGGTCATTATAAATGTACCACAAGCGTACTCGTTGGGTTGTTCTCTGCCAACCATTATTTACCATTTTCCCACAAACGTATTTTTTCTTTTTTTTTTGTACTGCTTCCAGGTGCTTGTGTAATAAGCCTGCAGGCAGAGCTCCATGTGCTAATATTAGCAGCTGTTTGACTCTTCTCAGAAACGGTGCTGCTAGACCAAAACAACAATTGATTATGTCCCTGTTTATGACCATTACTCTGCACCAGATCTAATCAAGAAGGAACATGGGCTTCAAATGTGTTCACTTCATTTATAGATAAAGACGGGGTGAGCAAAGCAGACACATGAAGAGCTTCATGACGCCATGTTTTCTCAGCCACACTTCATGTAAAGCTTTAGTCTTTGCTTCTGTTCGTTGTCTGATTTGAATAATAAACTTTTGTTTTGCACAACATAATGAAATATTTAACATTCAAAAAGAATTCATGTTCAAAAATCAGTTGGTGGTTCTTGGTTGTCAGCCCTTGGTCTTTTAGTGGAAAAAGAAAAGAAGAGGAGGAGACAAATAAGGAGAAACCGCACTAAAGGGTGAAAGCATGGATACTACAGCGACATGCTCAAGGGGCTTTCCTGAACCTGCGAGGAGAGCTGGAGAGAAATTAAACCTCAGAACAGCCAATCAGAGAGACTCCTCTCACCGACCGCCGATTCTACATGTTGAATTGGCCAAAAAAAGGCGAGTAGCAACGGAGCCGGACACACCGCAAAAACTAGGGTAACGACCGCTCAGCGACGGCCGACGACCTCCTTGGTGTGTCACAGCCTTTAGTTCTGAGAACTAGTGACACTTCAGCTTACTAATACAGAACTATGTTAGGTATCCTTTTTTTTTTATCTTGTGTGTTTTCCCTTATAATCCTTACATATAACTAAGTATTTCTCCTTTATTTACTAAATTAGTGCTTCATTATGCAAACACAGAGCAACAACATCTAACTCCAAACCTTTGTTTTGGATCCTTTTTGAGAAGACCAGCTAGTAGGGCCTTGGCTTCAGGAGCCAGGTTCTTGGGGAAGCGAATCTCCTCCATGAGGATTAGCTCAAAGAGACGCTCGTGGTCTTGATTGTAGAAGGGCAATCTACCACACATCATCTCATACATGACCACGCCCAGTCCCCACCAGTCCACCGCCCGTCCGTAGTCGTTGTCCTCCAGCACCTGGTAGTGAAGGAATATGAGGAGTTGATTTAAAGACTCATTCAGCTCTTTGGCTGGTTCTAAATTTAAAAATGTTGTCACAGTACTTTTGGATATCACGGGTGAGTTACCTCTGGTGCCAGGTACTCCGGGGTCCCACAAAAGGTTTTCATGGTGGCACCGTCTGTGATGCCCTCTTTACACAGCCCAAAGTCTGTTATCTTTATATGGCCATCTTTGTCTAACATAAGGTTCTCCAGCTGTGCACAGAAAGATACACGAGAGTCAAATTGGTGGATAGTACAAACCTGAAACCTGGAAAATGTCAGACAGCATCCTTGTGTCATTAAAGGAAGAATGTGCGACTTTTTGATCCAGTGGATGTTGCCTTTGAGCACCAGCATGAAACCAAGAGAAAACTGCTGTTTGGCTGCATCTTCGCTTTACTAAAAGGTTCCAGCAGCACACCTCTAAGCCCCCTCCACTTGAGTTCACACAGAGGAGTTTAGCGCAGACAGCAGATAAAATTTGTCCTGAGCTCGAGCTGCAGTTTCCTGTGGTCTGCAGTGTTTGTGTTAGCAGGCTAATGTTAGCACACTTCACATTGCACATGAAATGTCTAACGTGGCATAATTTTTTAACTAGTTCCTGTCTTAAACAGCTTTTTATAAGCAAGGGGAAGAGTCGGCAGTCCCGTCCATGTAAACATGTTGTTAACACGGCTCTGACAACAACACAGCCAGGGCTCGCGCTTCTCACTCGCTGTGGACAGTCATGACTCAGAGAGACATGTACACAGAATATATAAGATTTCTGCTGTATTTATGTATAAAATGTCACACATTTTCCACATCATCCTTTGAAAAAATAAACCCTACCATCAGAGAAGCGAGCACATTACCTTTAAATCCCTGTAAACCACATTGCGTGAGTGTAGGTACTCCAGTGCTGACACTATTTCTGCACCGTAGAATCTCGCTCTGTCTTCTGTGAACACTCTGTCCCTTGATAAGTGAAAGAAGAGCTGAAAAGGGGAAAAAAAAAGGCAGACACAGAAATATTATTCATGTAACTTGAGATACTTGATTTTACAATTTTAAAAATCCTTGGTTTGAATATGTTTCTTTTGCCAGCAGAAGAATTTTATTTTCTGTTTGTAACAGAGAAACATCATCTGCAATTAATTCAAGAGAGAACATTTCCTCTAGCTCAATGCTTCCCAAAGTGTGGGCCCCCTGGTGGGCCATGTGGGTACTGCATGTCAGCTGCTAAAAGCCCTCCACCAAGTATAAAAATCAAAGAAATATCACAATAATGATGATTCACCATGAGTCAACCCTTTAAGTGATTAGTAAGGCGTGTCATGACTATTCATGGACATAATGTTTAGTAAACATTTGTGTCTATCTTGCCATAATATCATGTTGTCATGTCCAATAATTTACCCTAACTGAAAGTGATAGCTGTAGTCATAACTTTGACTTTATCAATAGCGTAATAGGTGTTGAGACAAGAAATTACCGGTACCTACCAGAAAGAGGAAAACCTACAATGTCATATTATTGGAAACAGCCCCTTATACATTGACAGGATATGAATATCCATGATATACCTTGTCTTTAATGTATAACCCATGGAGGCATAATGTTACACAAAGTTGTTTCAACACTGAGCCCACATCAGCGGTAGTAACAGAGGCGTCACAGGGACAGGAGAGTGGCAACATAAAACGTCTAATTGTGCCGTGCGGAACAGTGCTGTGTGTGTGCATGTTTGAGTGTGTGTATGTGAAGTGTCCTGGGACACTAATATTAAGACAGTAGATATTCAATGTCAAAGTAAAAAGGAGTACCAACGAAGGAGCTTCTCCGTTAAAGTTAAAGGGGCTACTGATGAGTAAGGTTAAATGTTTCTGGATGCATGTCTACAATCATTTGGAAAATATTTAAAATTATGGGGTATTTCTTAAATGTTTTTTAAGATTTATTTTTTATTTCGTAGTTTTTATTAAGTTAGACAAAACTTTGAAATTTTCAATCGCTCCACCATGTGACTGTCTGATCTGGATGCTTCTAAATAATATGAGAGTTGGATTCACAAGCCCAGGAAGCTTCCATGCCTGCTTGCTTTTTTTTGGCCATCTTAACCCAAACATGACTGTTGTGAAATATTCCTTAAGTAAATGTTTAAAATAATAATGAATTACTTGCAGCTACAATAAGCAATCATCTTTAAAAAAAGAAATACCAGGTATATAAACACATTTGAAAACCAGGTGAGAAGATAAACTTACCTCTCCTCCATTTGCATACTCCATTACAAAGCATAGTCGATCATGCGTTTGAAATGCATATTTAAGCGTCTGTTGGGGGTAGAGCAAAAACAACAGTGATTGCATTAAACTGTTAAACGGTCCATTAAAGTTGGAAAGCAAACACTTAAATGCAAGGCAACTCACTGTTAAAAAGGGATGCCGCGTATTTTGGAGAACTCTGCTTTCTGTCACCGTGTGTGCCACCTCATCCTAGAGCAATACACAAACACGTCACACATTTGGTACATGTCACACCATTAGATTTCAATACTGTCAAATATAAGTCACTATTTCACTTTCATGTGTTTTAGGGCCCTATGAAATCACTTTGGATTTGTTTTATTTTTTTTACCGGCCTAAATAAGAAATTGTGTTTTTGTTTTACATACATTTGTTTCAGCACATTTAACTGAGGTATAATGGTGTTATATTCTGTTGGATCAGATGAGGTCATGGGTGATATAAAGAACACCCCCCTGCCTCTGTATTCTTTTGAAACGGTGGTAGTGCGCAGGCCACCCCTGCTACCCGCTGAAGCCATCCCTGCATTACTTTATAAATTAATAATAAAAAAAATCACATTTCCATCTTTTTTTTTCTCGCTGTAGCTTTGACAAAGTGGAATACTTAACATAAGCAGACTTTTCATTTAGCAGATGTGTCTGTATGAGTGAAAAGTAGAACGTGCATTATCTTCAGTGTTTGGATATCTCCTGGCGCTGCTCTGTGTGGATAAGTTCTGTGGGATAAGTTACGTTGTGAACGTTAAGTTACAGACCATAAAGACTCGACCTGTGAGTGTTTGTGTGTATCAGTAAGTACATATGGTGCTCCTGCATGCAGACAGCACAGGAACTGAGTTATACCAAACGTGCTTTATAAAAAAAAAAAACAGTTAGATTGGTCGGAAAACGCAGATTATTTCACAAGTTTTACATATCTCACCCACATTTCAGCAAATTGTGAAATTCCGCATTTTACAGTTGATTCCATTTTCAATATGGAATTATGTGACTTTGTCTGTGTTCTCCGCATCGCAGGAATCTTAGGTCCCTTGTGTTTACTACTTACTTTGGCAATGATGACTTCTTTGCGGAGGATTTTCATGGCATAGTACATCCCTGTTGCCTTCTCCTTCACTAAGATCACCTTACCGAATGTCCCTTTGCCCAGCAGCTTCAGGTAGTCAAAATCACTCATCGTCTGTCGGATCAAAAGTAAAAAAAAAAAAAAAAAAAGTCTTTACAAAAGCTGAATACATTTACCAGTGCACTCACACCAGAGTCAGCTTTAGCCAAGGTTTAATAATAATAATAATTTATCCTTTATTAATTCCCAGAGAGGAAATTCAAAAATCAAGTTTCCTGAAGAAGGCACGTATACTACAGCTGAGAGTGCTAATGGGACTATATCCACTGTCCTATCTCTCCAAAAAAAATGATTATTTCTCAATCTATGTGAACAACATTTTGATTCTGCATTGTGCTGTCCTAACTAATGTTGGTGGTGCACTGCTTAAGATGTATTCTAACACACATGTAATCTCTTTTGTGAAACATAACACAAAGAACTGAGCCTTAAACTTCATAATTGAAGCATAAAAAATGCTTCAAAAATTGAAGCATAAAAGTGAACTCTTCTACTTGTTCTAAATTATTCCCATTTTCAGTCTTACTCATCAGCTTGGTCTCTTTTTGTTAACGTCAAAAAACAGATTATTATATGTAGACTTTCTTTATTGTAATTCAAAGTATTTCACTCCTTGTTTAACATGACGAGGTCAGCAGATAATGGAAAATTATAGCCAGTAAAATCACTTGAAGTCAATTTGTATGATTCAAAATACCAACAAATCCCTTCCAATCATTTAAAGGTTGCTTCACATTAAAAAAAAAAGCTTAGAGAAAGATGCTTAAAGTTCGATCAATAAAGATAAGCTCGACTGGACAAACACAGCAAACACTAAGAGGCCAGGCACTGAAGTTGCAAATACTGACCACTTTTGAGCGGGATTTGGACACAGCAATCTCCATCTCCTCTGCCCCACTGCTGTCACTTGGTGAGCCAAATTTAATCTCCATTGGCTCCTCGTTCTGATGCTGACTCTTTAGGCCGTTTGCCACCGCCTGGATCGATCGCATCCATTCCTCCCTGACACAGAATAACAAAACACTCATTGCCTTTATCAAATCTAGAAAAAGACATGTCTACCTAACTCTGAATCTATTATTCTCATCTAAGTGTTTTGTTAAACTTAACGTATTCAGACAGATGTTATAAAAGTTTAGCCAAAAACACATCTTACAGGGAAGACAGTAGTATGCAAGCTTAGTTGAGAATGGAGAGGATAATCTGGGGGCTGCCTGCTTGGATTTGATACTTGGCAGAACCAAAAAATAAACAAATGATTGCATTGGTCGAAGCTGAATAAATCACATCCAATCTGGCAACGAATCCAGTCTCCAGCATTTGGTTGATCTACCTCTAAAAAAGAAAACTGCTCTTGTTAAGGTACATTGTCTGTTTCGTTTGGTGATGTTAAGATTTTTTGCCAAAACGACATAATGGGTTTTGCTACTCTGAAACACCATACAATAATAAACCAATAATGTTAAACAGGAGTGAATGGAACATAGGTTTAATTAGCCGCCCGTCACACTCATAACCACATTTGTTCAGTTTGGATAAAAAGATTCAGCTTTTTTAAGTTGTTTAGGTGTTTCAGTGTAGACAGAAAACATTTGGAAAACAGATATTTTAACATGCAATTTTACATTTCATATGTACTGACATAATCCCATAACAATGACCATTTCTTACATCAAAGCAGAATATACAACATGAATTAACCCATTGGAATGAATGTGTTTTTTTTTTTTACCTTTCCTCATTACTGTCTACGTGGAAGGTGCGCTCAATAACAGAAGTCCATTGCAGGCAACGAATGACAAATGTGTTGGGCCTGGGTCGCTCTGTCTTCATCAGCTGGCATTCTACAAGGCATACACACATGAGTTAATACTGAAGAGTCGACTATTACAATAAAAGATATGAATCATTTGTCGGAGCTTTAATGCAGTGTTCTGTCAAGATGTGCTGCCTTCTCGAAACATGCTACCATAGCACAAAACAATAACAGAAGCAATCAGTTTCCCCATATTAAATAATGCTTCAAGAACATAATAATGTCATATTAATGCACTACTCTCAGTGGCAAATTCATTATCAGAGTATTGGGGGGAAGTTTTGGTACTAAGACTTCGGGGGAAGCGTATCTGGATGGACAATAATCTCCTATCAAATGCATGGTAGCACATCTCGATGGGTAGCAATACTCGATAAAACAACAAAAAAAAAAACTGACCAGCAACTGAGAAGTTGTTTAATGGTGGGAGGTTGACGTCACTGGACACTTCAGGCTTTTCTTTGTAGCCAATGAAAGAGCCATCACTCTTTAAGATGAAGTAACGAGGCCGCCATGTTTTAATGTATTCACCTAGAACAGAGACAGATACAGTTTACAGATAGCCGACAAGCCTATGGTGCAAGTACTAACAACTCAAATTCAAGATTTAAATCCAGACCATCACTTCAATTGACTCTAAGATGATGGAAAAGGAATACAAAGGGTCTCCTTACCTCTCTTTTGAAGCCATCCCTCTCTCACAACACTGACTTCATTCATACTGGGGCAGAACACTCTCTGGGTTTGGAATGGGCTGCAGACAAGCTTGTTGAAATTGTGCACAGTGTTTCTATTGAGCAAGTGCCTTACAGGGGCTCAAATAAAACCTTTAAAGTGTAATACCTGGAGAAAATAAAACAGATAAGCACACGGTTAATGCAGAATTTGGGTGTCAGGCTGCCAATACATTATCAAATCAAAGCTTGATAAAGCCAGTCATAGCAGTTAGAAACCAAGGATACTGTTATGTGCATACTGACTTTTTATAACTCAGGCTAGGGTTATATTGTACACTGTATTTCCTTTAGGAAGTTAAATAAACACTAGGATATAAATGTCATTATTACATATATAAATTTGTTTTGAAGGAAGTAAACTTTTAGTAAGTGAGGTGGAAGTTACAACATAAAGCAAAGGCAATTTCTCAAAACAAGGGACATTTTCTGCAAAGTGCTCTTGATGCTTATCTCTGTGTTGTCACCATAGCACTCTGTTCGGGTAAATTCCTCACCTTCTGAGGCTGTTCTGTTGCCTTGAAACACAACTCCACAACAAAGAAAACTGCTGAAATCTGCACGTCTGCTCACCGCCTTATCTTACAGTCTCACACTTATGACAGCTACACAAGCTCCATGTTAAAAAACAAGAGACAACTTCATGAAATACCCAGGTGTTCAATGTTTAGATATACAGTATATATAAAAAAAACATTTTGGAGAGAAAATGCTCCAAATATCTGCATTTTCTAATGTAATATCCACCCACAGGTCCTGCAGAGTGCTGGTGGAAAGGCCTTGGTGATTCAGGGTCAGCACTGAATCAACAGCTTATGTTAGATAATAGGTTTAACAGAATTTCAGAGTATTTCAGTGAAAGTGAAGGGATTGGATATTACAGTACATACAGTCACCGGAACACAAAGACTGTTTGAACTGCTTTGTTTACTAAGTTAAAAACAGATAAGACTTCCCACGACTTCGGACTTTTTTTATGGTGCATCCCCGGTTGTTCATGCCCCCGCACATAACGCAACTATTTCACATATTTAGGGTAATTGCGCCTTGCTTTTTGGTATCATAAAATTAATAACGATGACATTTCACTGGAAACTGTTGGCCAGTTAAATGATCAATAATCTTTACAAACAGGACAATAACATCTAGCACACTGGAGTTAATCATTAACATAAAGACTTTACAAGGCCTCTCAGTGAAGTCAGTTAAATATATTTAATTGATGACGACTAAGCACAAGCACACTTTACCTAACATTAACATAAACATGAACATAAACATTGAGATAAACATTAACGACATCCTGATCCTTTCAGCTAGCTAGCGGAGGCAAAGTCAACAAACGTTACCTTTCGACTCCAAGGCAGGCTGTGAGCTTTTCCTACAATAAATTCACACTGAACAAGTATATAAATAACTCTATAGATCTAAAGCTAATGGTTGGTTAGGCTTGTGGCGCCTCTGACAGCAGTGAGGACACTGACCATAATCACAAGGCAGCTAGCAACAATAGCTTTAAAGCTAACAACTAGTTAGCATGTCTGTTAGCAACTTGCGATAGTTCTCCTCGTTACGCCGGTTGTTCTTACCTAAAACAAACAGCTGTCGGTTCTTAAAGAGGCCTATAGATCCCAAAGAAAAGGCTTCCACTAGATATCTCTCGGAGCTTGTGTGTACTGATCTCTGTCAGTGAGCACACAGCTTGTTTTCTTCTCTCACAACAACAGGAGACGGCAGCGGCGTGTTGGTCTGTAGCAGAGGTTCACTGAGACAATATGCGAGTCAGAGGGACAATGGTCAACTTAATTCAAACTTATCAGATAGTAGTGTTTTATATCACAGATAAATTCCAAATCCTGGGCAGAGAAAACAGTCTCTTTGTATATTTAATGCGGTCAGTCGCCTGCTTAGCGTGGTAGCCCTCTTCTCCAGACAGACACTACAGCAGCCTCTCAGACGGAAGTGACGTAGGACGGTAAAGCGGGTCCACTGCACCTGAACATCAAGTACCATACTGTAACCGTAACCTCACATGACTGAGGGACAAAACATGACTAAAGTATAAATAAATACATGTTGGGAGAAATGCATACAATAATGTATGAATAAATAAATAAATGCATCAATAAATATATATATATATATAAATAAATGCAACAATTCATATAAAAATATTCATAAAAAAAAAGTATTTCTGTGTCCATGTTGTACGAGGAAAAGTAAATATGTAAATTAAGTGGGCCGTCCTAACATTACTGAAGTAGGATTGGTCAATTTTGAAAAACAGACAGAAGAAAATTTACATATATACTTTTCATCTTACAACCTGGACACAGAAATAAATAGATGTGTAAATGTAAAAATACGGAAATAAATTAATAACTCAATTAATGTGGAATTGTAGGCCTTGATACATATATAACTGTAGAAATACACTAATAAATGAATAAATACAATATATATAATATACAGTAAAAATATATAAATAGCCTTTTTCATTAACAAAGTGTATTTATTATTTATTCATTGAGGTATTGTTTTCAGCATTTATACATTATTGTATGCATTTCTCCCAACATTTATTTATTTATACTTTAGTCATTTTTTGTCCCTTATACACATGACTGGACAGAGCAGTAATCAAATTATCTCAGAAATACGCAGGAAATAACCCCCTCCCATAGGGCATAATTCTATTAAAATCCTTTCCCTATATTTCCAACCCCTTTCTAACAAACTCATTTCTTTTAAATGTGTAATTCTAAATATAATTGTTCAACTGACTACAATGTTGTGTCTAAATCAGGAGTGTTTAAAAAAAGAGGCAGATGCACATGTAACAAATGTTTTTTTTTTTTTTAATCAAATATCATATACAAAAATGAATCCTCCTTGTATGCATTGTGTCCTAAATAATGTTTTGTCAAGGAGCTTTACTTTGTTGTCTTTGTTGCTTTCTTTGCAGGTAGCGAGCACGGGCATCGTTGACAGTAGTTTCATTGTTTCTCCTCTCCAACTTCTTCATGACATCCTCCTTAGAAACCTCTGAAAAAGAAATACTTATAAGTAATCTATTAGACTGTTATAATGACACAGTTAAACCACTTTTGTACTACTCAACAACACCGTTTTCACCTTCGATCATTTCAAGCATGGTCAAAGCTCAGCTACCTGCAAACACTTTTAACTAAAAAGTTGTATAAAATTGCCATTTTTTATAGAAACTTAATGTATTACTCTGATAACCTGATTGTCTTTTGGCTGCTTCCCTGCTCTCCCATTGTTTCATCTCGTCATCCGTCACTTCTTCTCTTGCCACATTGCTCAGCTCATAGACATCCACCTCATGGAGTTTAGGTAGTAAGTCCTTCACCCATTCATATCGAATAGGACAAACCGTCCTGATGTAAACACGTGAGGTCACCAGCACATCATGAAAGACGACCCAGTTGAGCTCATCCTCCTGATCAAACAGCTTCAAGCAACAAGGGAGATGGATAAAAAAAACAACATATATATTAGCATTACACCCATTGGGTCTTCCATTAAACTAAGTTGAATTGATACATTTATTTTAAATGTATTTAAAAAACAACTTACTGCTGATGATGGATGAATGTGGACCATGGATCCGTGGCCATCCATTGTGCAAAAAACCTTGCCAACAGATCTATGTTGGGTAAAAAAGTAAATAACTTAAAAAAGTAACAAATGGAGTCTTTTTGACATTTTGATCATTTAAATCCTACTTGGTTATACCTTCTGGCAACATTGGTGAAGTATCCTGTGCACAGGCATCGTCTCAAGAGTTCACTCTTGTTGCCATCAAATGTTTCAACAGGGAAATCGCTCTTCTACAAGAGACAAAGAAGCCAACAATCAAAAATACAATCATGCATTATCACATTAGTGTGGTGCCAAACAGAATGACTGAGTAACATATGACGGAGCATGTACCTGTTGGAGGCGAAGGAGGATCTCTCTGAGCTGAGTCTCCACACTGAAAGCTGACTTCAGAGCCCTCCAGTGGATCCAATTGTCTTTACACCAGCCTGAGGGTCTGTCACTGCAGAATGCAATAAAGGCCTACACTTCATGCTGGCTGGGATAGTTTCATCATACTGTATCAAGTTTTAGACTAACACTGACGTTTCCTTTCAAACACAAAAAGAAATAAATTGAAAGTTTGTTGCACAATTAATCAGTTAAACTGTTTACCTGGATTTACATGCATGAAACACACTGAGGAGAGTGGCAAAGTCGTTCATGCTGCCAGTCCTGGAAGCCAGTGCTCTGTGCTTTTTATCTGCCTCTTTCTGCTTGTCAGGGTGGCCTACAAGTTGGAAGAGATCAGTCAAAACAGTGTGAGTTCAAGGCTTAAGTCCTCACACTACAATTTAGCACTTCTCTAAATATACCAAGCTGCTTCAACTTCAACTCTTTTTGTTCCCAAAGGTGGGGCGATTCGTTTTGCTTACCTGGTCGGATAAAAATGTTCTCCACTGACAGCATGGCCGCCACAGGGAGAAGCAAGTCCTGACAGTCGAGAGAGGCAGCTTTGAGCAAGGCCCTGGTAAGGCCTGGTTGCAGGGGGAACTCTACCATCAGCTCCCCAAGGTGGGTCACTCTACCTGTCCTAGAGCCCAAACACAGGAAAGTTAAAGAGGTACACAGAGCATTAAACCAAAAGGTTGATTCATCTGAGCAGGTACAACTGCTTACCTGTCGATGGCATCAAATTGGTAGAGCTGTTTTAACGCCTCAAGAATAAACCTTTCTTCTGGACAGTCAAGGTAAGGGAACCTAATATAAAAACATCAACCCATTATTATACAAAGGGAAGAGAACATGTATAACTAATGACCTATAAGAGTATAAGAGTGCACATACACACAGAATGAATATCTAGTACCTAATGACATCATGAACGCCCAGACACTTGAGTGTGAGTATTACTGCAGTTAAACTTGTCCTTTGGATTTCTGGAACTGTATACTCGGGCATGCTCTTCTCCCAGAATTCCTTGTTGTAGATGCGAAAGCATTTCCCAGCTGAGGTTCTTCCAGCTCGACCTGCTCTCTGCTGAGCCTCGCTCCTTAAAACAAAATTAAAAACACCCCAAAATCCTTTTTAGCAGCTGCTTTCTTAATGGCACGTGTAAGGAAGATAGTTACTCCAACAAACATATTCTTATAGGTATAAAATGACAACATTATTATACAAAAAACTCACTTTGAAATAGGCACCACCTCCAAGATATCCATGCCCACCCTTGAATTGTGGTTGAGCTGCTTCACAAACCCACTGTCCACAATGTACCTTTTTTTGGGATTCAGATTTATACAATTATTACAGTACCTAGACTTTGGTGAATTGGTTTGATACTTCAGTGACGGCAAGTGCCTCTCACTTTATGCCATCGATGGTGAGGGATGTTGCTGCAATGTTAGTGGCCACCACACACTTCCTTATCCTTGGAGGCGGAGGCTGGAAGATCTGCCTCTGTTGATCTGTGATGAGAAAAAAAAAGGAATAAAAGTTTATTCTTTCACAGCATTTGTGTTTTCTTCTGCAACACCATCAGAAAGAAAGATGTCTAAAATAATAAGGGGTAAGCTCTAGACCAGCTGTTTTTGTAAAGTGTCTTGAGATATTTGTTAGGAATTGGCACTATAGAAATAAAGATTGATTGCTTGATTGATTGAAAAAAGAAACAACTATATTCAACTTCACAAAGACCAAAGTGAAACAGGTGTTGTATATTCATATTTTTACCAGTGGGCATGGATCCATAAAGTGGCAAAATGAGAAGTCCATCGACTGTTTGGTCCTGAACATCGTAGCGGTAATCAATCGACTCAGCTTTCTCATACAACAAGTCACAAGCTCGCTCAATCTCTGATTGTCCTGTCAAACATATAAAACTGATGTTTAAATATTTCAGGGTTAAGATTAGTTTGGGATGTTATAGCTCTATAATTAAGACTTACCTGTCAAAAACACAAGAACGTCCCCCGCCATTTCACTTGTGTGCACATCAAAGGCTATTTTGACTACCTAAGAAGTACACAAGATCAAATTAAAAAATGCTGCAAGCAACAACTAATTAAAACTTGATTGATCAATGCAGAATGTAAAGTTATGATGTGATGTCAAATGCATTCTTTCTGTAAATATGCCAGAGAAATAACTCAAAGTAAAAGACTTAGTACCTCTTTTATGTAACCAGTGCTCTCTATGTCTTTTGGTCCTACAGCTGAACCAAATGTGCAGGTAACCGGATAAGTCCTCCCAGGAATTTGAAAGACTGGACAGTCACTTAGGAAGGCTGAAAGTTTATCTGTTTCTAAGGTGGCTGACATCACCACCACCTTCAGAGGGAAAGATCGGCCCCTGGTGGACTTGGCAGGATCAGAGAAGACTTTTTTCAATAAACCTAGGAGAATATCCTGTAAAAACAAAAAAATAATACAGAGGGGATGAAAAGAGTGACCGCTTCAAAAACATTGATATTCATCTTATCATGCAAAATCAAACATTGGTAAAATGTGAACAATACTGGATAAATGTCATATATTGACTGACCGTATTGAGGCTGCGCTCGTGGACTTCATCCAAGATTACAACACTGTACTTGGACAGGAAAGGATCTGCCAGGATCTCTCTAAGCAAACAGCCATCTGTCATGTACTTCACCACTGTGTCCTGGCTCAAACAAAGTCAGAACTTTAAACTATTTAACATAAACAACAAACACATTATATCACTGGAGTTGTCTTTGTCTTTCACCTGTGATGTGCAGTCGTCGAAGCGTACTTGGTAGCCAACCTCTCTGCCCAGAGTGCACTTCATCTCTTGGGCTACTCTCTGGGCCACAGTGATGGCAGCCACACGGCGGGGCTGGGTAACACCAATTGTGCCATCTTTACTAATACCTACAATGAGAAGACCAAGTAATACATATGAAAAGGGTTTGATCTGTAGCTACACAAGACAAAACTGTTGGAACAATTACCCAATCATATTAGAAACAGTACCAGCCTCAACTTATTTAAAAAACAATCATTTATTTCCTGCTTGGTCAATTAACCAATGTGCCATCATAATCTTTCTCTGCCATAAGAGCTTATTTTCCTTTTCCCCCTTCTTTAATTTGTCTCTTTCTTGTTTTGCCTTCTTGAGTATGTGTTCTTGTTAGCTTTATTGTTTTTGCTTGGACTACATTAATAATATGTCTCTGTGTTACATGTTTCTCTTTAGGAGGGCCACTCGCTCCTCCAGCACATTTCTTTCAAAATGTACATTTTGTTAATTAACTAATCATTATGTACTGTCTGTTTTTCCATTGATCTATTATGTTGATGGGTTTTTTTGTGTGCAATAAAAAAAAAAAATAAAAAAAACTCAATCAGGACGAAGCCGCTGTTGCATTGGAAAGCAAATAGACTTATTTTAACCCCAAAACAATTGACATGTTTTGATTGATATGTTTATTATCCACCACTTTAACTTCATTATTAACAGTGAAGAACAGCACTTACCAGCTTCGTGCAGGTACTGAGGAAGTTGAGTGGTTTTCCCGCTGCCAGTCTCACCGGTGACAACTAGAAAAGTGCTGTCTTTTACAGCTTGAATAAGTTTGGCTTTATGCTTATATATAGGCAGATATTTGGACTCAGACATCATTCACCACTCGGACTAGCCGTACCATCAGATTTCACTGTGAGGAGCTAAACATACATAATGCACTGCTGTGACAGTCACGCAGCACACGGTTTAATCCTTTTGTATGCCCACAGACAATAAGCTGTTCTATAAAATACTTAAAAAGAACTTCTTCCTTGTCTCCTTTCTTGAACACGACACGTTCAAACAATGACTTCCGCAAACTAAATCTTCCTTTGTTTTTATTGGTCGATTACGGGCACGTGACCAAAGACCGTCTTTCACAATAAAAGTCTGGCTGTAGGCTTTTTTAAAGGCAAGCTTTATTAACACTGTCAAGTGTCAAGCCAAAAGCGCATTAAAATGACCACAATAAGCGCGTTGATTCGTTTACTATAAGTCTAGTAATTCTGTTAAAAGAAACTAAGTCCTTGAAGTGAAAGTTTTTCATGCACATAGGAGGACTGGATGGACTTTATAAAGTCCAGCATGTAGCCTACCATTTGGTAGCCTCTAAGTAATTTGTATAGGGGCTATAGGGGTGATAATTCATATCTAGGGTACTGTCAAGGTCCATTGATAAAGGCACAGAAAGAAGCAGTCAGGGGCCACAGACAGGCCCTTAAAGACAGCGTGTGTATAGTTTCACTCTCAGCAAATCAACTATGCAGTGTAGAATAGATTTATAAATCCTACTTCACATCAGTATTTCAGAATTATTTAGTTAAAGATTAAGTACAAAAACAAAACAAAAAATAGCCAAGAGTTATACATTACTAACTTGAAGCATAGGCTCACCTATAGTGAAATACGAAAAACTACCATCACACTTTTTATCAGAAATGTTCAAACCAAAATAACCAGCTGCAGGAAATGTGACAGTGTTTTATATTGTCAACTAATGGTAATAGCGATGGAACAATGGAGTGACCGAGTTAGTACTGATTGACACTTTATGCATACTCTGCCAATAGTGTATGGATGTGTGTGAGTGAAAGGCTGGTTTGAGACATGTAGTGAAAGCGTGTTTTGAGTGGTCAGTAGAAAAGCGTTGAGTAGCTGTTTATCATATCTCACTTTTATTAGGAAGCTTTCCCTGACCTCTCATCATCTAAATGAGACCTCTCCTGAGAAAGAGAACCACGAGTTATCAGTCTTTGCCAATCCAACTAATCCTAGCTTTATTAGATGTCATAACTTTATTTACTGAGACAGAAATAGATTTTTTTTCCTAAAGGAACCAGTATCTCTTGGGGAAAGGCTTTAGGTTTTTATAGGGCAGCTGTTTCAATACCCAATTTAACATAATTCCATTCAGACTGAACTGTGGATTTGGATAATCTTTATTGTCCCTGAGGGGCAATTTGGACTCTGGGGGTTACTGAAACTTGTATCATTCCACATTGAATTGATTTTTAAAAGATCCTTGAGTTGCTAACTATGAAAATGATAACATGTGTGCACATTCATGGCCATGACAGTAAGTAATGCATTTATTTTTGTTGCAAATTATGGAAAGTTGCTTCCCTATATAGCTGTCAAGTTCTTGGTGTTTTACAGTAGATAAAGAAGAGGTCCACCAGAGACCACACTATAAAGAATCCTCTGTCCAGACGATGGTGTGATCCATCTTGATTTACGCCTTCCTGAAAAAGTTAAGAAACAAGATGAGAGCCATTGTTCACAGTTCTACATACAAAATGTTTCTATCCATTTACACAAGTCAGCATAAGTATTTCATGCTGCAGCTCCACATACCACTGCTGCAGGACTGGGAGCAACCTGGTCCTTTACATATCTCTATGTCACAGTGGAAATATACCTGTACGGGAACATCCTGTTTGTAAAAAAAAAAAAAAGAATACAAAGGCTCAAAACCAGCAAAGCACAAGTATATAACATTATTTTTTTATTATTATATGTATTTGTGTCATTGTTTTGAATTTCTCTTACATACCAAGCTTTTAAACGTTAAGGGCTTCACAAATGAGAACATCTTGACGACAAACCATTGATGAAGAGAGGCATATTTACGCTCCTTACTGGAAACAACTGGCAACACAACAGTCTTGTGGCTGTCACCACTGAAAGGACATCTGGTTTTGTTCAAAAAGACACACTTCATTAATCAGTGTACAGGTAAGTTGGTTACATGATCTTTGTATGTAAAGATTGTCTTTTACTTTCATGTGAGCTCACCCTTTAACAAGTAGGTTCCATCTTTGTGTGTCGAGTGGGTTTTCAGTCGGAGTCGCCCAGCAGTCCTTCAGCACCAGCACCAAATCCTTGTCTTCATGTTTGAGCACAAATACCTCTACATACACGGGAAATCCCAGCTTAGTCACTGGAGGGTGACGAGACGAATAAAAAGACCGATAATTGGAATCTGTGGATTTTACAAAACGGGGAAATAAAGATATTTGACATATTTGAAGAATATTTGGGGGAATTTAAACGTACATAAAGATACACTAACTTACATGGACAGTAAAAGTACAGATCAAATGAAAATATAAAAGAAACAAAAAATAAGCTTGACCTTTGGCAAACCTCATCTCAGCCCTCAGTGTCCCCTCACTCTTCAGTGTTGAGAGGTCCTTGGATGTTTCTCCCTGAACATTGAAGTCCAGCTGGGCAGTTTGGGACAGCATGAAGCTACAATGCACAGTAAGACTACAAAATAAAACGTAATGAGTCCCATTTCCTTCAAATGGAGGTGACAAATTAAGTTTGAGTTTCTTACTTGAATGGAGAGTTATGAAATATAGAACCTTTCTTCCATTGTTGTTTTACCTCCATGTTGACTGAGTAGGTTATAACCCCAGCACCTGTCTACAAGACACAACCAAAGCGGTTTTATTACCCTCCAAACAAAAAAAATACCATCTGATCTGACTAACAACTGTGCCTAAGTGGTCATGTATTAACATTTACCATGGACTGTGCACCACAATCAGTGAATGGAAATCTGAAGGTGACAGCTTCCTTGGATCTTTTATGGGGTTTACAATTTGCACTTTGGCTAGACGGGATCCAAACTGTGTCCAGGTCCAGAGGGGGGACTGTGGCATTCCTAGGAATCTTAACTTCAAACCCATCTTTGTTGCAGAAAACATTTCTTGATACCAGTGGGTACTCATGTTTGTTCATCTCTGGGGAGAACACATTAAGAATCATTGATTAAACTTTAGTTTGAAATATAATGTTAAGCTATTAATCTGCACACTTAACAGTTACCGCCTTTAATTTTCCTCTCACAGATGACAGGTATTGTCTTGGCAATTTCAAGTCTACCCTTGTAAGCCATGATGACAACAGTCAGCTTTGTGAAATCATTCTAAAGGAGAAATTGGTTAAAAAGAAGATTAAAGGAGAATATGTAAAATAACATTGTAGATATTTATTTTGTAAAATCATCAGACAGACAAGCTCAAGTGACTTGTCAGCTTACTTGTCTTTTCACAAAACATCCGTGGGAAGCAGCTGTTAAGATAATGAAAGTTTCAGTTTCTCCCAGAACATAGAGGCATTGTTTTGCTACAGCAAGGGCTTGGTAATATCCACCGTGTTCATCTATGTGAAATGTGGACACAAACAAGAGCACAGCTGAAACTATTGAAAGCAATGTGTCATCATCAATAAATAAAAAGTTTTGTGAGGCCATCTTACCTTGAACATAAATGGTGAAAGGAAGATCAGCAAATTGTTTCTTTGATATGAAAACAGACATGTATCCATCATGACAAGTCGAAGAACTGCTGTTGATAATGTAATGAGGTGTTGCATGAAGTTGTTTAGAAACTGCATGGGCTCCACATTGCACGAGGAGGAGTGATGATGAAGTAAATGTCAACATAATGAAGAATATAGTATAGGACACCATCCTTGGATATTGGCACCAGGTGGAGCAGCTGCTTCTTATTTGACTTAATTGGTGCAACCTCTTACTCAAAACTCACGACTCATTCTGAAGGTCCAGTGTTTTAATCAGTCAGTGTCTGCTGCCTTCCTAAAGTTTGTATTCTCTTCCTGTGCCTTCATGTGTTTTTTCACATTGCTCAGAAGATGCAGGTGAACAAGAAGCTTAAACTCTCCTGTATTTTTATTCATGAACTGTTGAGGAACAAAATGCTTATATTTTATCTGCAGGTCAATCTGAGAGTTTGGTCTTATTAGATCAGCTTGCAGATTCATTGTTTAAAGTGATTGGCACAAAAACACATCTGACATACAAGAGCTCATTTGACACAGACTACTTCTTGATTGGTTGATCTTATTTGTGTTTTTTAATCTTTATTTTTTTCCCCAAGCATCCATCACTTATAGTCTAATACAATGTACAGGCAGAAAAATGAAATTATGTGACAAAAAAAATACAAAAAAAGGACAAGAATTAAGTTCAAACTATTTACGTCAATCAGCATTTAGTAACCTTCACTGTGAAACCATACACACATCTGCTTAAAGGTCCGATATGTGAGATATCGTCTGAATTAAATCATTAAATGACCTTAATATCATCAGACATTGAGGAAACATGCAATATGTAATGCCTGTTGGTTAGCAAGGCATGAAAGCAGGCAAGAGAACTGGTTCAGATAGAAATGATTCTACCTGACCTAAAACAACTGAAACATGGTAAAACTAGGATCAATATTGGAGATGCTTTTGAAAAATGGAGAGAGGTTAGAACAATGAAAGGTTTCAAGAAAGACAGATGCGGAGCTAGCTAAACACTGAAGCTTCATTGTCAGTGATATGTGCACACTGACTCTAGGGAGGAAGGGGCGGAGAGAGACAGCTCTCTACAATGTTTTGAATTTGGACTGCAGTACCAATTTTAAACACTAGGTGTCAAAGTTACATTCCTCCTTTGTGCTCTACATTTGTTGGAGCTGGTCTGTGCTCCTGTTGTAAATCGGGTTTTGGTATTCACTCTCTGTGAAGGAAACAGCAGAAGTGAGAGTCATACAGGGCGAAGTATCACATTGTCCTTAGATAATACATATTCATTCAGAACTCACTTGCTTTAGCTCTCTTCTTCCTCCCATCCGCTGCAAATGAATGACAGCAGTCAATAACTTTTCACTTTTTGTACTTCATAACTGCTATTTGTTAAATTAAATTGAAATACCTCTGTTTTGGTTCTCTGCCTGAGCTGCTTGTTGCCTGCTGATTTCACCCTGGTTGGCTGTGAATAACAATAATTGAGTGAAATTTCGAACAATGATGAAATGGTAGAACAAGAACATATTCAAAAATGTTGTATTACCATAATAGTGCCGACCGAGGCTTGAATTTCTTAATCTGTTGATGAGATCTGGAGATGAAAGAAATTAATGCGTTACTCTAGTTTTTCACAACAGTATGACAGGTGTCACCAGTACTGCATTAATTCTTCTGAATATTAGGCACCTGTATGGAATCTCCGTTTTGTCCTCTGACTTTCCATCCTTACAAATCTGAACTGATTTGTCTCACTTGTGCTTTGGCCAGGTTGAGAAGTGTCAGGATCAGGCTGAACTGCCGGGAGATTGAACTGATTTCTGCTGCGGTCACCTTGTTGGTTGGCTGGGTCTTGGTCATCATTTTCTGGTATTCAGAAAGGATACATTTATTAAGTATTTACGCAGACATGTGTGATATTAAAGGTGGGATATAGTGTAATTTTCTTTGTGACTTTATGAATAAACAGACAGAAAAAAAATGATCAGAAGGAAGAGCTTTTAAAAACGCACCATAAACAAGGCTATCATCGTATGCTCCTGTAGAAAAAGAAAATACAGCATGTACATGACACATGAATAAAATCCTTTATTTGTTGAACTGTTTTCACATTTTAGTGAGTGTTTTGTATGGTGACAGATTACCTTTCTGATGATCAACATTTGGCACTCTGCCTGTTTCTGCTGGAGCATTAGAACCTGTGTAGCATTGAATAAAGATTTGGAAGTAGTACTTGAGAAAATATGATGGAAATATGATGTTTAATTTGTGACCAAAGTTAACTCAGAGGATAAATAACACTGTGAAGCATCTCTTTGACTCACATGATTTTTCAGTCTATAAGATATAATGTAAAAACTTATTTCAAAAAGATTTAGAGTTGTACCTTGCAGGTGAATTTTGTTTAACCTTAAACAGACACATGTCTATAGTGCCGTTTATTCTGCAGTCCAATCACTAATATAGCAGATGAATATTAATAATGATATAATAAGAGTCTCTTTTGGATTTAATTTTGATCTAACTTCCAGAATTTTCATTTTCCAGCCTTTATGAAAATAAGTTCTTTGATAAGTTGTGAGATATATTATTTTCTGTTTACACTCCTTTAACTCACTGAGGGTTATTACAGCAAGCGTTCTTGTAATTGATGTCTATGTACATTCTATTAGCCAGTGCATGTCATATTTCTTTAAAGTGACTTTTTGCAGAAGTTAATCATCCTG